GAAATTTTTTTCTAACTTGTGATTCAGTGTTGTTTTTTCCCCAACCTCCCTTAGAAATTAGATTACAAGTTGGGTCTTTTGAAATGTAATGGAGGGTCTGGCATTAACTTTATTATGTCATTAATTTATTATATTTTAAATCAGAATACTAAATATCAAAGATTAGCTGAAACCGGTTTGGCTCAGTGGATAGAGCGTCAGCCTGCAGACTGAAAAGTCCCGGGATCAATTCCCGTCAAGGGCATTTACCTTGGTTGCAAGCACATCCCCAGTAGGGGGTGTGCAAGAGGCAGCTGATCAATGATTCTCTTTCATCTGTGTTTCTAACGCTCTATCCCTCTCTCTTCCTCTCTGTAAAAAATCAATAAAATACATTTAAAAAATAAAAAAGTATCAAAGATTAATAAATATTACAGATTAAGAACAACAGAATCAAGAAAGAAGCACCAGACAGACCGTCCAACCTCAGAGGGAAGGCAGGGAGAAGGGAGTAAGAGATCAACCCAAGGACAATAAAGAATTTTTAAAAAGCAGCCAATTCAGTAGATACATGAGTATTAGCGGAATTTTCTACTCAATACTATCTTAGATGTTAAGCGTCTAGTTTTCAAGGATTTTGCTTATTTTGTGTTATTTTAGAGGACTTGCATAAAATGTTCCTTCAACATTTAATAGTAGTTTTCTTAGAAACGCTTGTGTTTTTTCTCTCTCCCTCTCTTTTCCTCTGCTGGGCGTAAAGACTACTTTAGTCACACACTTACATGTAATAGAGTTTGCCTATATGTTTTCCTCTAGCCGCCTCCAGAGCCAGCCAGCTGTTTCAGAGCCACACTCCAGCTGGGCAGCGTCAGTAAAAGTATTTTGTGGCAGGGTGTCAACATTGGTAGGACAAAATGCTTGCCTCTAAGCAGCTGCTGAGCTGACGGCAGCGTCTCTAACACCATCCCCTCTAGGCCCAGCTGCTTGGAGGGACTTTATACCTGGCGATAAATCAAAATAACATTAAAAATTACATGCAGGCACCGTTGGTTAAAAAGTTGGGATCAAATGTGTTGCTAAATTTGGCAATCCAGAAGATCAACTACATCGCCACCCTATTATAAATCTGATAGCAGGGAACAAGGTTAACTTCCTTTTGTAGGATCAGAATTGTATACCATGTAATACTTTATATAAAGAAGGCAAGGTGTAATAAGATGTTTGATAAGGAATTTCTGGCTGTTTTCAACTTGTAAGCTATTGATTCCTACATACATGTATATGTTACTAGAGGCCTGATGCACAAAATTCATACAAGGGGCTCTACCCCCACTGCCATGGTGGCCCCTCTGCCTCGGTCCCTGCTGCCATGGCTTCTTCCAGAAGGTTGTCCAGTCTAATTAGCATATTATGCATTTATTATTGTAGATTGCTATGATGGGTTGCCATTGAAATATATTTTATTGAGACCATATACAATAAACTTTTTTTTTTCTGTGGGGGAAAAAAAAAGTCTTCTATTTTGGTTGCCATTCATCACCACAACGGTTTAAAAATGAATCAGGCTTTAACAATGGAACATTCCAGGCCAATGATGACATTTGGGCCACGTAGTGCTACTTATCTATCACATGAAAGTCTATAGATGGGTAGTTAAAAGGAGATATGGTACTTAGATCCCAATTCATTTAAATGTTTTTTATTATTTGTTAGGTGATTTGCTTACTGCAAGTGGTAGAAAAGAGGACCTATTATTATATTAAAGTAGAGGCCCAGTGCACAAAATTTGTGCATGGGAGATGGGGGGGGGGGTCCCTCAGTCTAGCCTGCACCCTCTCACAATCCGGGACCACTGACTCCTAACTGCCCACCTGCCTGCCCACCTGCCTGATTGCTCCTAACCACTCTGCCTGCCTGCCTCATTGCCCCTGAACCCTCTGCCTGCCTGCCTGATGACTTCTAAACTCTCTGCCTGTCTACCCGATTGCCCCTAAGCCCTCCCCTGTTGGCCTAATCACCCCTAAATGCCCTCCTCTGCAGGCCTGATTATCCCCAACTGCCTCTGCCTCGGCCCTGCCACCGTGGCTTTGTCCGAAAGGAGGACCGGACCACTAGAGGATCTCAATCGACCCAGTCTAATTAGCATATTACCCTTTCATTAGTATAGATAGCATACTTTTTGTGTACATTTTCTAAATTTACTTTTATATATGTTGTTTTAAAAAACTTTAGTAATGCATATAGATGATAGAATTAATTTGATCACATATATTTATACCTTCTTATAAAAACTACATATATAATGTAGTATTGGGCTCAGGTTTGTGAAAACTAAAACTTAAAAAATTTGGAGAATCTACTTAAAGGAAAAGGAAAAGGAAATGACATTGCATATACAAACATTAGGTTCAGGGCTCAGAAGACAATTGGAAGTACAGAGTCCTACAGTTTAAACTGCACTAGTTTCACCGGAATCCCCCCCTGGTTATGTACGTGATCTTTCATATTCAGAATCAAAGAACGTGGGACTGTAGTAGAGTTTAGATAACATCTGACTCAACCTTTTATTTTATAGAAATACAAGCACAAATTGGTGTGTCTTAAGTGTGTAGCTTAATTATTAGTAAATGAAGGACCTGGAATTTTAATCTGCCTCATAATCCACATTTCTTTCCTTTTCTCCTTATCTAAGCTACTTAACATATTAAATACATAGTATGATTCAAGTTTAACCATTAATCAAGTTTGGTAATGAGCTAACTTGGTCACAAAGGGAAGGCTTCAGTCTTAGGATAATAATAGTGTTTGCTATAAATTTTTGGATTTCTGTTTTATAGCCTCATTGGTTTTGGATATGATTTGTGCGCTTAACAAAATGAAAAGCCAGTCATGCTTTTTTTTTTTTTTTTTTTTTTTAATCTTGGGAGGAAAAATAGCAGTCACCTTAAAGGGATGGAGTAATTTTAAGAGATGTAGCTATTTCATCTTGTCATAGTAATTTCTACCCAGAGTTCATGAAATAAGCTACGAATTAGTTTTGTTGATTTTTGCTCTGACCGCCATGGGATATATGTATATATTTATTCCATAAAAGCCTGAAACTTATTTTAATTCACAACACTGTTTCAAGGACACCATTACAGTCATGTAGGGGCTTGCAGGTAGAGCCAGCCTTTAGCAAGATTAATGTGGATAAAACTCTGAGTTCCCATATGTGTTCTAGGGAATTGGTTCAACAAGCTTCTCCCATTTCTTGAGTGTGGCCTGCCTGAACTGTTAATTGTGTTGACAAGTCCCCCTCATGGAGGCTCGTGTCAATTCCTGTTCCTTTCTTATCTGCACTGTGTCTATCGATAGCTGCAGTTTTCAGCTCCAGACTTCTCCCTAACCGATGCTGTTTCCTCTTTCAGAAGTGCCTAGCTGCCACTCCATCTATATGAGGCAAGAAGGCTTCCTGGCTCATCCCAGCAGAACAGAAGTTAAGTTTTCCATTATTGACATTCCTGGCAAGTACCTGTCAACATCTTCAGACGTCCCAAGGATGCAGTCACTTAATTAGTCGTCATGTTTTACAGGGAAAATAGCTTACGATCCCTAAACCATTACTTTTCAACTTTACCTTTTTAAAGTAGAAGAATGATTTTTTTTTCAGGTCATGATATCCTGCATTTGGTTGTGAACATGAGTCATGTGCATATAAACAGCTGAAATGTGGATTTCTGTGTTCCTTTTTTTTTTTTTTTTGCCAATAACCACATCCTTTTTAAACGGAACATGTGCTTTATAGATTACCCCGCATTACTGCTCTCTACTGAAATGTATCTTCGAGGAATTTTCAGTGTTGCTTTACAGACCTACATCAATCTTTTAAAAATAAAATACAGTATTTACTTTTAAAAATCCGGGATTTTACATTTTTTGGACAAGTTTTTAAGAACAGAAATTCACACAAGAGGACTAGAGATGGAGTTTTCATTGTGGATGTGTTTTGGTAACCATGGTGGGAAAAGCTTTGAGCCAAGGACTTTGATATGGGCAACGGAAAGAATAAATATGATTTTATCTGGATGTTATGCATGTTAAAATATTTATGGAAATAGGTATATGGTTCTTGATGGAAATGATATATGTATTTTCAGTGACATGATGCAGGGTTTGGTCTAATATTGATTGTTTAATATAAATTATATTAGTAGAAGTAAATTCCTATGTTTAAAATATAGTTTAATGAGCTAGTAAATCCAAAATATTTGAGAACAAAAGTCTGCACAAATGCAATGAAATTGTTGTTGCTACTGTTGTTAATTTTAGAAATAAAACCGTGACTATGAGACATTTCCTCCTGGTGATTATAACAATTAAATAAAGGTCCACAGTTAAGAATATTTCGAAGTCAAAATGATTGTGAAAAGCTGTCACTTTATTTTGCCCTTTTATTGTGTGTGTGGACTTATAGCAAAAAGAAAGGTCTAAAAATTTTTATTTAACTACCTTGACTATTAAAGATGAAAACACGAAGAGACTAGCCTAGATATTTCACCAAGGAAGGAAATATCTAGACTCTAGGACTAGTTCATTAGTTCAATAATGCAAAGCAAATATCAGTCATTTATTTCAACTTCCCTGTCGTTTCATTGAATAACGAAACTTGGAAGAATATGGGAAAGATGATATGTTATAAACCCTAGGTTTCCAGTTTTCATGTGAACTTTATGATTGGCTTAGCAATAACATCAATAGCTAATTCTCATATATCACCATGTGTTATACACTAGTCTAAACTTGTATATTTTAAATCATTTAATCCTCCCAACATACCTAAAATGTATATGGCTTATTATTCTCATTTTATAGATGAGGAAACTAAGGTACGGGAGTTAAGTAATGTGCCCAAGGACACAGAGCTGAAAAATAGCAGTTATTTTCTACCTCACTTACGGTGTTCATGGTTCTATTTTACTATAAGTTTTTTGTGAGCTTCATTTCTATCATGACTAAATGTATGTCATTTTCTCCCACAGGCTGTATGTTTGAAAAGGGCCCCAGGCAGTTCTATGATGACACCTGTGTTGTCCCCGAGAAATTCGATGGTAGGTTTCTCATTGTGCTTCAAGTTTTGCTTTCAGTAGTGGGGGTTTACAGATCACCCTAGCTTCTCTTGAAAACAGTCAGCATCCCTGTGTCTGTGGGCATCATTTAAGAGGCACTCAATTCTTGCTCAACTTCTATCTTTTAGAAATTCTCTTTCCTGTCTCCATTACAAGGCTTTTTTTTTTTTTTTGTCCCATAAGAGATCTCATCCTTAGAGATATAGCCGACTGCCCTTTTTGCTAAGCTCTGTGTAGAGTAAGAGGAGGCTTTCCATTGCCCCACTGAGCGCATGCAGCTTGTGGTTGGAGATTTATTGAAAGCTGCTCCCGTAATTAACAAAGCAGAACAGAAAGCATGCTACTGTGGACGCACTGATGACTAATGCGGCCTCTTTCCTTTTATTGTTCATGGAAAGATGCAGTATGGAACACAGGACCAACATAGCTGCCCCTTGGGTTAGTGGTTGCTAGTCCTTCCTTTTGTTTTTTTTCCTTTCTGGGAAGATGTTCATTCCTAGTGGCATTACTTTGTGATTGCTTGAAAGGGAGTTGGGAAAGCATTACCTTTTTAGCATCATTCACTACTTCCAGGAGAAGATTCTAGATGTTAGAAAGGAGTGCTAGTGAGATAGAATCTTCTTTTCCTGACAAGGGTGGCAGAAGTCAAGCATCTAGAGGAAGCTTGGGTATAAGTTGAACAGTTAATTGACGTAGTGGTTCTTCAGAATGGTGTCCGTGTTTCCTGCCTGGATTGTCTAACAGGAAACGAGCAGGGGGCAACCGATTAGCTGATTGCACAAACTTTGGGGATCATGGCCATAATGACTTGGTAGCTCTCAGAAGTTTCTAATTGCCATTATTTAAACAGCAAAGTCATGCTCAGATTGCTTCTCAATCTCTAATTAGTTGCTTGTAGACTCCTCTGTTCTCAAGGTTTCTGCTTCCCTTACGCCTCTCAGAAGGGATAGGACGCCAAGTTTTGGGAAGGTCTGTTTCCTTCGCCTTCCTTTAAATTGTTAAGTTCATTCAAGGTCACGGGGTGAAAACTCTAATAGGGGTCACTTTTTTTGGCTTTATTTCATAATAGATGTTAGTTTTAAGCTTTGAGTCTCAGAGGCATGATCCATGTTATTTTTAACCATTCGTAGAGCATCACCATTCTTAAAATACAACTTTTTCCCTTGAGACAAAGCATCAATCTTTTACTTCTTGGAATGACCTTTTACAGTTATGTTCAATATTAGCAAGCTTAATATTTTAAGAAATGTTGGTAGGCAATATAGGCATATAGGGAAGAAAAATAACTAAAACTATAGACAGGGTTATATATAATCTAACAGGCCAATATATTAATGTTCAGGGAAGCTAACTGTATTGATTATTCCCTTTGACTTTTAAATATTAGTCAATTTTATAGTAGAAAATATTTTTGGAAGATAGTAAGAGTCTTACATTTTATAGGAAGTAGGGAAGAAGAAGAAAGAATAGCAAAAGGTTGTTTATTTTTCATTGTACCAGGCCAGTACAGTCGGTCACATTTATAGGCAGAAGCAATCTAGAGATTATAAAATTTGACAGTGTTTCACTCTGTCTGCATAATTGCTCAGTTGCCCTCATGAACAATTTGTAAATCTCAGAAGGAAAAGAAAAGACACAGATGAATAAAACTGTCATGGAATCAATATGAAGAGAGCAGCACTCCTGTTTTACCTAGCTTAGTCCAAAACAACATAATGATTTTTAGCAGCTACTGACAATAATTTGTCTTTGGTTTAGATTTTTAAAGTAGTGTTCTTTCTGTAATTATTTTAAGAGGTGTATCTTTGTTTACTGATCAAAGGAAAGTTTTTTTTTTTTTAAAGCTTGTGATTTGGTCTGTTTATAATTCACACTTAGTGTGAGTAAATCAGCTTGAATATATTCTTTCTAAATTGTTTCTTTAGTGGAGAGAAATTCATCCATTAACAGTGATATATTCGTGGGGCACTAGACATTAAACTTTCAGTGTGACCTCTTCTATATATTTTAAAGACAGTTGGCTGGAAATACAAGTAAATAATCAGTATTTTATTTATTTATTTGTTATTTATTTATTTATTATTTTTGCTAAAACCAAGGCAACTGATCTTATCCCAGAAGTATTTCAACAGTAACATCATTATTGCTGTAATTTACTTCATTGGCTATTGTTTTTATGTAACAAACCTTTTTTGCTTAAAAATATAAATTTACTGAAAGCTCTGGTGTATACATTTTTAAGTTGGACTTCTAGAAAAAGGGAAGCAAGCTAAATTTCAGTGAGTGAAACACAAGTAAAAAAGAAAAATGAGAATTTTCATTTGTTGCCAGTTGCAAAAACTGTATGAAGATGTGGACGAAATATGTTCTGATGGTAACCAGCATGCCCTTAATTGCCCCTGAGATTTGCCTAATTGTATGAAGTGCATATTACTTAACTCAGAGTTTAAGATGCTATTAAATTTGCTTTGACATGTTTGCATTAAAATATGCAAGTTTGTCATGCCCAGGTCAATGAGATATTTATAAATTGTAGTTTGCAGAATTTAATTTCTACAAATAAAAAGCCCAAAGCTTAAAATTGATTCCTCCATCTTCAGTGTTGCTTAGAGCAGTGAGTAATGATATTAACAATAAAAGCCAAGAAGTGTGTTAGATGCTATGGTTTTTAAAGAAATCAATGAAAAAAAAAATAGCAATACAAAATTTTTACAAGCAAATGACATCCATATGTTTATTCCACACCTAAAGGCAGTTATTTTGACCCTTATATGTTATATACATCTGTCTGTAAGTTTGGATAGATATGTGGTTTACATTCAATCCCCTAAGTATTTCAAAGCTCTATTATATGATAATGCATTTCATAGAAACCCATAAAGTTTCTGTGGTTTAACCATTTAACACTGGTTTAATGTAAATTTATGCAAATACCATGTTGCTAATACTAGAAATGTAATTTCTTTTTAATTTAGGAGACATCAAGCAAGAGCCAGGAATGTATCGGGAAGGCCCCACATACCAGCGGCGGGGATCCCTTCAGCTCTGGCAGTTTTTGGTAGCTCTTCTGGATGACCCCTCAAATTCCCATTTCATTGCCTGGACCGGGCGAGGCATGGAATTCAAACTGATTGAGCCCGAAGAGGTGGGTGTAGTAGGTCTTAAAATATAAAGAAACATATGTGATGAATATGCCAGATATGTGGTTTTTTTTAAATAGATAATAGATCAACCAAAGGACTTATATACATGCATATAAGTACAACCAATGGACATAAAACTCTGGGGAGGGAGGGGATGTGTGGGAGGGAGGGAGGGGGGTAAAAATAAAATCAATAAAATATGTAAAAAATAATAATAATAAAGTAAAATAAACTAGCAAAAAAAAAAAAAAAGAAACCTATGTTGTTTACTTAAAGGAGCCTAGAATTGTAAATGTGTGAAATACAAGGCAGAATACACTTGAAATAGAGAAATAAACACATTAAGCAGCTTTGGAAAGCCTTACACTTCACTGGAATGTATCATTAAACTCTATAACATAGTTGAGAGACAATGTTCCAGAGCTTTTCAGGTTCATAACAGTGTTTAGGTAGTTGTTTGTCCATGTTCCCAATGTTTATACCTGGACAAGAAGGCCTAATGTTAGAAACTACAAGAAAACATCAGTAATTCTGGGAAAATGACAATAAATAGATAAGAACTCACATAGAACATGTATAAAACACTTCTCCAACTGAGTTGTTCGTGTGGAAAAGGTATCTTAGATCCAGGAATTCCTTAATTCGAGTTTAGAGCACATTAAACAGTGTATGAATCCTATATTGTTTACTTAAAGGAGCCTAGAATGGTAAAAGTGTGAAATACAAGGCAGAATACACTTGAAATAGAGAAATAAACACATTAAGCAGCTTTGGAAAGCCTTACACTTCACTGAAATGTATCATTAAACTCCATAACATAGTTGAGAGACAATGTTCCCGAACTTCTTCTCCTCATAACAGTGTCTGGGAAGTAGTTTGTATATGTGGGCTAAGCTTATATGTGGCCAAGAAGGCCTAATATAGGAAACTACATGACAACATGAATAATTCAGGGAAAAAGACGGTAAATAGATGAGAACTCGTTTAGCACAGCTGAAACTGATTCTCCAAGTGAGGTCCTAGTGTAGAAAAGGTATCTAAGATACAGGAAATCCTTAATTAGACTTAAGAGCACATTAAACAGTGTATGAAACCTATGTTGTTTACTTAAAGGAGCCTAGAATGATAAATGTGTGAAATACAAGGCAGAATACACTTGAAATAGAGAAATAAACACATTAAGCAGCTTTGGAAAGCAAAAAAAAAAAAAAAACAACAACAAAAAAACAAACAAAAAAAACTTTTAAAATTTAGGGACTCCTTCCCCATTATAAAGTGTGGGGGTAAGCAGTATACATTTAAAATAAAACACATGGCATGATTGTTCCAGTTGAACACCATCCTACAGTGTGGATGGTGAAGAAAATCAATCAGCATCACTAGCATAAGTGTTTATTCGAGAATGCGGGGCTGTAGGATGTCTTTAAAGAAGCATCTAAGTGGGGGTGTTGGATGGTCTTTAGGGAAGAAAGGGGATATCTGAGAGGCTCAGCTAGTTTTGAGTAGGAGGCATTGTTGTTGCTGATTGGCAGTTATTATTTGTACCATCCTGATTTTGTTAAGGGAGTTGGAGAGTAATATTTAGACACCCAAGTCTCTGCAATAGGGGAAGGAGGAAAGACAGCTGTGGGGGAGAGCAGCATGCAAGGGCCACAGTGGGACATTTTCACTCCTTAAATGTTTCTTAGGAGACACAGGCCTGGTAGGAACATGGTTTCCCTTTGTGTTTTTTTTTTTAAATATATTTTATTGATTTTGTACAGAGAGGAAGGGAGAGAGAATAGAGAGTTAGAAACATCGATGAGAGAGAGTCATCGATCAACAGCCTCTTGCACACCCCCCACTAGGGATATGTCCGCAACCAAGGTACATGCCCTTGACCGGAATCGAACCCGGGACCTTTCAGTCCCCAAGCTGACACTCTATCCATTGAGCCAAACTGGTTTCGGCCATGGTTTCCCTTTGATTGTTGGTGATATTTGTTTCAAGTCAGCTGGGCCCAGGCTCATGCCATTGGAAGGTAGGAATGAAAATTAAAACTCATCATAATGCATAGAAATTAACAAAATGAGAGGACTCTGGATAGAGATAATATGAATAAATGCAAAACACATTCAACTAACTGTTCAGCTGTCCCTGTTCCCCACCCCTATACAAATGGAGTATTTTCCTGAAGAACTTCTTAGTTAATTCTCCCTCCACTCTATCCAGCTCTAGATTTGGGCTTAAGGTTACCGTTGTTACTGCAGTGTAACTCAACAATAGCGTTTGAACCCGGTATGGAAATGTGATTTTTCTATGAAATGTTTGTCTTATTAAAGTTGCTTGCTCTGCTACCATTAAAACTGACTTTTATGCTTAAATGACACAAAAATTCTAAAAACTGAGACTGAGAACACTTAAAGTAATGTGTTCTTCACCTCAGGAACGATGTTAATAATGTAAGAGTTGGTTCATGGTACAAGTGAATACATTCAACAGGAATTTATATCAGTTATTCCCCTCCATGTGAGATTAAAACAAAGTTGAGGACAAGCAACTTAAATTTCTTTCTATATATTTATTAAGTCAGGAGAATTGTTGAATTATGTAATTATTGATCCATTCAGGAAAGTACAAATTCATAGGCAAGTGATTACTTTCTTTACACAGAAGCTGTTGACTTTTATGATAATCAGCTTCAAATAAGTAGAAGACTTGACCAGAGGACCATTAAGTTCCATCAAATTCTGAATTTCTGTGTTGTTGTAGGTGTTTTTTTTTTTTTTTTTTTAGTTTTTTTTTTAGTTTTTTTTTTAGTTTTTTTATACAAGGAAGCCATGCAGTTACATCTGTTCTTTACAGTAACCCAGCATGTAGACTCCTTGTCTGTGGCAGATTCATAAAGTCAACAAGGGCTGGGTAATTCAGAGCCAGCGGGCCATTTCCAAATAGTAAGGGACTGAATGGCAATTGTGCAATAAGCCCTAAATGTCTCCTAAGGCCTTTGTTCAAAACGAAACATCCCATTTCTGATTGATGTATTGTTCACTTTTGCACTTGCTTCCATCAGGCCATGGCTTTACTGTTTATGTTTAAATTTCTTTGGAAAGTGTTTGTGAAATTGGTTCAGCCTGCGTGGCCTGTGATCACCCTCCTCCCTTTATTACACAGCATATCTGGGGCAGTCTGTGTCAGCACGCTTAGGAAAGATGGCTGTGAAGCCATCCGTGCTGGAAGTACTCAGGGGTTCCATTTCTTTGTATTTCTTCTTGCAGTTTAAAAGGATACTGGTCCTAGCTGGTGTGGCTCAGTGGATAGGGCATTGGCCTGCGGACTAAAGAACCCCAGGTTCGATTCTGGTCAAGGGCACATGCCCAGGTTGTAGGCTTGATTCCCAGTAGGGGCTGAGCAGGAGGCAGCTAATGGATGATTCTCTCTCATCATTGATGGTTCTGTCTTTCTCTCCCTCTCCCTTTCTCTCGGAAATCAATAAAAATATATATTTTAAAAATAGCATAAAATAAAAATAAAATGATACTGAGTGAGACTGCAGACCTGCACTGATTATCTGCCCTGTGTGTCTGGGAAACTCTAGCAAGCACATAATCCTTATCATCTCCCTTTTTGAGATGATGAGATATTTGTTTTCACTTCCATTGGACTGAGCATGGGAAAACACTCGGATTCAGAGGAGACGTTTTGTTGAGGTGGAAGAGTCACCAAGAAGTCCGAGAGCCATGCCCTGTGGCTTCCATTTCTTAGTGTTGCATATCCAAACATGATTTTTAAGAGAAATTGAATAATACTGGAACTTACACATCATTACATTACATTTTCCTATTTATTTCATTTGACAGTAAGTTCATGCTACCGTGCCATTGTTTTTTCACTTTCCTCACTACCAGCCAGTTCTCATTGGAAGATGAATAAGGAAGTTACTGCAATTATTGCTCCCCACATCCTGTTGAAAATAGTGCCTTGGCTTTTAGTGGTGTTGGGGAGGGGTCATGTGTCAGTGCTGAATGGACTTTCCTAGTTGGTGGGTGGTCTAAGCCATCCTGGGGATGACTTATTGTGGTAAGAATACTTTAACATGGGATCTACCCTCTTAACCAAATTTTTATATGCCAGTACAGTATTAACCTTAGGCACTAGGTTGTACAGTAGGCTTCTAGTACTTGTTTGTATCTCAAGCATATTGATATGTCCTATTTCCCTCAACTATATGACGAATGTGGTTTATGTATTAATACCACAGTGCTGAGACTTAATGGATATCCTAAAATTTAAACTCTGTTTATAGCATTAAAAAAAAAAAAAGGTTACTTTACCCTAGTTGGTTTAGCTCAGAGGTTAGAGTGTCTGTACTTGGACTGAAGGCTCTTGGGTTTGATTCCAGTCATAGACACATACCTCAATTGCAGGCTGAATACCTGCCTGGATCCCCAGCCAGTCAGGCCTGTGCAGATGGCAACCAATTGATGGGTTTCTCTTTCACATCCATGTTTCTCTCTCTCTTTATCTCTCTCCCTCCCTTCCACTCTCTGAAAATCAATGGGTGTGTGTGTGTATGTGATATCTTCAGGTGAGGATTAACAAGAACAAAATAATCTTCCTTTCCCGGAGACTTCCACAATGTTGCTTAGTTTGTTGCTACAACTATTTTACTTTCTGCTGAATTCTAGGAAGGAATCATTGATCAATGATTCCAGAAATATCCAGAAATTTTAGTTTAATTTAAGGAGATATTAGTACTTTATTTTCACATCTCACCCAGATTCGCATGCAGTTGAGTTGCCTTGCCCATTAAAAAATACAGATGCTCATTGTTACGTTCTTAAAACACATTCTGTTTAGAAAGTATTGCTTTAATTTCTTATTGAAACCTTCCCATTGGACTATTGCTCAGAACATTTACATCGATATGAAGATTCTCTTTGGAAAATTCAGCTGTACCTGCCACTGTGACTGTCTGCTTGGATATATAATCCTGTCCCTGTAACACCACATTCCTGGGCCTTAAAAAATATATTGATGCATGCGACTAGATTATATCATATCTTCCTCAGGGGATATAAATTGGTGGGAGAGAAATTAGCAAAGAACAGTATTTTTAAAAGAAAAGAAAGAAGAAAAAAAACAACCCTGTAGAACGGTTAATCTAATACAGTGCAGAGATGGAACGATCTCTAGAAAGTGTTGTATTTTAGTATGTATATGTGACATGGCAACAATTTGGAATTTCATGGCCAGGAAAGAAAACTGTGTCCCCATTACATAACACTCCCTTGGGGTTGGCCAAGTAGGAATGGCAGCAGTAGCTTCTGCTCAGACTAGTAAACAGTGGAAATTAATGCGAATGTGACTTTGGTGGCGCTGTTCTGTATCAGGCTTCAGCTAGCCCCGGGTGGGGGTGCGCTGGGGGATGCATACACATTGAGGAAGGGGGTTTTCTTAAAGTTCCACTGTAGACTGTCTTTGCCAGATACGTTGCTCCTCCAAAGCTACATAAGGATTTTTCACTGAATAACACAGTGGACATTCTGCTTTAGAGATTTTCGTTTGTGAACTCATATACATGCTGACCTTTTCCACTTCCTTTTCATTTTGAGCATCCAATTACTGTTCTCGGAATGAATGTGTAATTCTCCATTTAGTACTGGCCACCATTTTATTGTGATGCTGCTTCAGGGAAATAAAAATTACTGGCCGTCCAGATTATTAATTTGTGTACTATTTCTCCCTTGCTATCCACACAGTGCCACTTGTTCATTCTTGTTTCTTTAAAAAGAGTAGGCTATCTTTTGATCCTAGGATATCTTTTTTCCTTTGGTGTATCTTAACCTCAGAAGACACCCTCACAAAGAGATCCCTAAGCTGCTCCTAATCTATAGTGTTTATCTGAAAATGAAGAAGGAAAAAAATACCCCACACTGTCTCTCAGGTTGGGAAACTTGCCTCATTTTGGTGAATTGCGGCCTGTTCCTTCCCGTTGTAAACACATTCCCATATTTCCATTTAATTTTGTATCCAAAACAATGGTGACAAAGCATTCAATTGTGATGTCTCGGGATTACTGCACGCCTGGTTTAAAAAGCAAACCAGGACACAGGAAATGCAGCTGACGGTGGCTTTTGCCTCTTTCATTTGTATGTGTTTTGGAGGGGTTGGAAGTCATTAATGAATTAGTTATGTTTTCAGTGAAATATTTTGATAATTTAATATCTAACACTACAATGCAATTCTGTCTTTGGTGGCAGGTGGCCCGGCGTTGGGGCATTCAGAAAAACAGGCCAGCTATGAACTATGATAAACTTAGCCGTTCGCTCCGCTATTATTATGAGAAAGGTATCATGCAAAAGGTGAGTCGTCAATACAACATTAAGATGCATTGAAACATTGCACATAAATGTGCGTGTCATACTTTAAAAGCCACATGTTATTGTGTTGCTAAAGCAGGGTTTACACTCACTTTACCATATGCATAGTTCTTGGTTTTGGTATTATAAGACTTTCTGTGTATAAATGTATGGGCATCACAGACAAATATGTTATATTATCATGTAGAAAATAGTACCGTGTTTTCCGGCGTATAAGATGACCCCCTAATTTTACAGTTAAAACATAGGTTTAGGCCTATATTCGCTGTATAAGACTACCCCCCACTTCCGAGGCAACACCAGTTCTTTTTTTAATAGACCGCCTTTCTGACTCTGGCCAATCTGAGCAGGCTTTTTACTAGAACACAGTGTGCAAAAGGTGAGTCGTCAATACAACATTAAGATGCAGTGTGTACACTGTGTGTACACTGTGTTCTAGTAAAAAGCCTGCTCAGATTGGCCAGAGTCAGAGAGGCGGTCTATTAAAAAAAGAACCGGTGTTGCCTCGGAAGTGGGGGGTAGTCTTATACAGCGGAATATAGGCCTAAACCTATGTTTTAACTGTAAAATTAGGGGGTCATCTTATACGCCGGAAAACATGGTAGATTTTCTGGAAGTTTCTATTTCACTGTGTTTGGTAAAACGGTTGTTTCCATACTAATATTGCATGTATACATCCTGAGAAGTTGATGATGTTCTACAGTCTCAAGAATTATATAAATTTGAATTCCCTTGCTTTTAGATTCTAACACTACCCAATTCTCACTTTTATTCCTTATTCTGATTCTTAAAGCATTCAGAATACTTCTTGTTCTTGTTCTGAAAAACATTTTTTTCTTTCCTAAAACTTCGGCCTGCTTTCATTATCAGACAGCTTAGCATTCTAAAACATTTATTAAAAATAAGTATTTGATCTTACTTTATTGGTAGAATTAAGTTAAATTTATTTTATTTCAAATGAGTTTCAAAAGTAGCTTTTTTTAAAAAAAAATGAGATAAAACAAAAAAATTACATTTAGAACATGATATACAATTTTTGAAGAAGGAAATGAGTACATGAGCAAATAAAGATAAAATATTTGGATATTTGCTGTTATTACATTTTCAGCCTCACATGTGTATTCAATTTAATTGTCTTTACTGAACTAAGTTTTATAATTTATCCATTGTAAACATTGTAGTTTTATTATGCATGCTTTGGGAGGACAGGAATATAGTTATTTATTACAGACTAGAGGCTGGAGCATGAAAATTGATGCACTGGATGGGGGGTTCCTCAGCCTGTCTACCCCCTCTCATAGTCTGGGAGCCCTCAGGGGCAGGAGGAGGCGACCTGGCGATCAGAGGATGCCAACACCCCCATCACAACTCTGCTGCTGCCACTGCTAGTAGTGCAAGCCTCGGCTGGCCCTGGTTACCTGAACCTTGCGCTGGCCCTGGGGGCTGGGGAGCTCAGGGGACTAGGGGACCCTGGAGGCAGGCATGTGGAGCAGCTGGACTCGCCTGGGGGCAGGCTCAGCCATACCACCCGCCTGCTGCCCCAGCAGGGCTGAGGGGACTGGGCACCGCCATCTTGTGGCTGTGGCACCACCATCTTTGAGGGTGTGGCAATCAATTAGCATATTCCCTCTTTATTAGATAGGATTGTGGCATATGTTTATGTCACCGTAGTTATGCCACGAAAAGCTAGACCAGTTGCTACAAGAAACTTACTAGAAGAGAGGGGAACAGCATCATGGAGTTTCCCGGACCAAAGAAAGTCAGGGCTCCAGAGTGTGCCAGCTTAGAAGTTAAACTTCCAAGATTCTTAAAAGATAAGGTTGAATTAGATTCTCAGTTGTTTCCTCTGTCCCTGACTCTCACCTTCAGAATGTATAACCATTTACTACCTGTTCCTTCTATTCTATCACAACCCTGAGTTCATTTTTAATTCCTGCCTTTCACTCACCACTCTCATTTGCAGCCACATCCTTTCACATGCATCCCATTCCTTTCATTTTCATCACCATCTCCCAATTCCTGCACATGTGGAGGGTTGCACAGTAGGTGCTTAGCCGTTCCCCTGGGCAGTAAAGGAAAATGCAGTCATGATCTAGGTTTGCTAGGTTTTCCTACCAAATGGTGCACTCTTACCTCAGAAACTCGGTGCAGTTTTTAAATGAAAATTAATGACCTGAGACACTGGCATTGTACCTGGCACAATAAAAGTTGTCAACAAATGGAGCTCTGAATGCATCTCACACCCGGAAGCTGGTGTGGCCCAGGGCATATCTGGGTTTTGTGTTTTGATCCCTATGCTGCTCCTTAAAGGGAGCACTCACAGAGAGCCAAAACGTATTGTAAGATCTCGAATCACACCTCAGCTTTTAGACACAGTATTTGACAGGCTGTCACGCCTGGTCTTAAATATTCTCAAAGGTGTTTAAACTTAACGTTATTGCTGTTATAACTACTTCCATGTTCATATTTATTCATCCAGGCAGTCTAATAGATATAGTACTAGCCCTAGAAATATTTATTAAAAAAAACAAAACAAAAAAAACTAGAAGGAGCAGTGAGTCAAGATTTTATAACCTTGATTGCATGTTATACGGTTTAATTCCCCACATTGATTTATATTATTTCTAATTATAACCAATAGCAACAGGTCGGATAGAAAAGCTCTAGTAGCCAAAAAACAGAGAGCTTTTTCTCCACGGCCCCAAATGAAACAAAGCAGGTGATAAAACGTTCTAAGATATGAAAGCCATCTATTTTATTTATTTATTTTTTTACTCAAAAGGCTTTGAACAATAAAAAAAAAAAGAAAGGAAAACTAGGACTTAGTATATTAGCTTTGTTTCTGATATTGCCCATTTTTGTTTTTATGGTAATTTTACAGTTTCACCTTTATGATCCTAATTTCCATTTTATAAAGGACCAAAGTGAGTAAGTTTATGCCAGGCCCCTCGGTTTGCTTTGCAGGGTACCAGAGACCTCCATCTCAATCTTACTAACAACCAACTTCTTCATTTACATCCAGACTGGGGGAGCTGAGGGCCGTTTAAGTAATGTATCCAAATTCATACAAATAAAGCACTGACCCTTTTCAAACCTAAGCATATTCAGGTTATTAGAATTCTCTAAATGGTTTGTTCTTACAGGACAAAATAAAACTGGGCAAAATTATTCTAAATCTGGGTCCAGAATAGTATGCCTCTTTGGTAGTTAGTTCTTTCTTTCCAAACATACAGATAGTTCATAAACCATGAACTCACCGTTCCCCAGATCACAAGGCAACCAGCAGTGCCTTTTTGGTGCATAGGAACCCAGAGGTAATTAATTTTCACTTTTTGAAAATGACTGAACTCTGGATCCACCCACAGAAAGTTACTCCCAAAGTTCATATAATGAATTGTACTGATCTCTGCACCACCCCTCACCCCGGTTTTGAGAACCTCAGCATTCTTGATTAATAGCGGCGGGAGGTGGAGGGCTATATTTGTTTCCCTCAATTGTTTATAATTTCCTAGAGAAGCATCACTCTTCAGAATTTAAGTTTGGGACATTTCATTCTCTACAAATTATGCGGCTCCTTTATTTCAGGGAGCTGTCACATTTCTTGCTCTCATTTCCTCCGCATGCATTGTGTATTTTAAATTCCTTTCACTTTTTTGCACCTCCTACTTCAATCTGACACTTTACACACATCCTTAACTTCTGTTTAATGCATCTCGCCTTCATTTTTTAAAGTGATGCGCCAAGATAATGCTGCCCTCCTGATCCATCTTTCATTTAAATAAGGCTATGTGTCTTTTTTTTTGTCTTTTTTTTTTTCTTTTTCAATGAGAATACACATCAGGGGAAAAACAAACCAAAAATCAAAAACAACAACCCACAGTTCACCCTGTGAATCAGTGAATCACTAGTCTAGTCTTATTAGAAATACAACACATTTTTCTTAGGTTTGGAAGTTTACTTTCTCTGCAGTTTCACAAATGTAGTATTAAGAGGGAGACATTTCACCCTCAAGGTCCAGTGAAGTTACAAGTAGAGATATTACTTTTGACAATAGAAAAACAAATTGTGAGATGCCTGCATGAAATCATTGATTTTTTTTAACCTCCAAATGACAATATAAGTTTACCTTTACATTACAACCAGCTCAGCTTCCTATGTATATATCTGGAATAAATGCAAATATTATTCAGGGTCAACACCTTGCATTTCTTCTGGTCAAATTATAATTTATTCCACAAAGTAAAAACTTCTTTTGGGTCTTTAAGGTGTATCTACTAATGCTGGGTGGCTTTTTCTTTTGTTATACATTCATTCTGATGGATGAAACCATGTTTCTTTTCCTTCCCTGTCCTCCATCTGGGATTGTGAAGGTGTGTGTGTGTGTGTGTGTGTGTGTGTGTGTGTGTGTGTGTGTGTGTTTATTGAGGTATAATAGACATTGAACACTATATTAGTCCCAGGCATACAGCACAGAAATTCGTTATTTGTAAATATTGTGCAGTCACCACAGGAAACCTGGTTCCTATCTGGTACCACATACATAAGGATGGATGTTCTCTCTTTCATGCTCTCCCCAGGTGGCCGGCGAGAGATACGTCTACAAATTTGTGTGCGATCCAGAGGCCCTCTTCTCCATGGCCTTCCCAGACAACCAGCGCCCACTGCTCAAGACGGACATGGAGCGCCACGTCAACGAGGAGGACACGGTGCCCCTGTCCCACTTCGACGAGAGCATGGCCTACATGCCCGAGGGGGGCTGCTGCAACCCCCACCCCTACAGCGAAGGCTACGTGTACTAGGAACACACGGGACAGTCGGCAGGGCCCTCTCCCACGGCCCCCTCTCTGGAAGATGCTGAGAATCTCTGCATTCTCTCCAGTCTTGGTTGGATTTTCCTCGTTTGTATTTTATTTTTGAATAATAATACACACAGAGGGGCTTTTCCTGTTGCATTGTTCTACTATGGTCTGCCATGGACTGCGCACTTTATTTGTGGGTGGGTGGGAGTGATCTAAACACTTGTTGTGTGTAACAGGAAGATAGAGGGTGAAAGGGTGGGTGGGGGGAGTGGGGAATTCCTTTTTACTCCGGCTTGGGAGGGGGTCCTACAGGTTTTAAGTATGAGGAACCTATATCATGTCCATCTGATTTCATAACAACATAAGGAAATGTTCGTGTTCTCTGGGTATCTATGGTACAGTTAATTCACAATGTGTAAATATCCACATGGAGACCATCTGCCTAGGGCATCCTCCCCTACCATTTCTGAGTCTCTGCAAGGTGTACAAAAAAAAAAATCTACTGTAAGTGGCCGTTTAATGTTAGCAATGACTGTATTTGCACCTCTTGTAGAAAGGTATTTAGAGATTGCATTTGCTGTTTATTGTTTTGTTTTTGCTTTATATTGGACACCCAGAGGGTGACCACAATATGAGTAATCTCTCTGCAGTTGAGTCATCACCGTGACTGTCAATGAGAGACACAACTTTGGACTCTGGCTCCGAACCCAGTCACAGGCCAGTAGCATTACATGTATCTGGTGCCACCTTGCTATTTAGGTACGAGTCAGACTGTTGTTCCAATGTTTTGAAGCCCACTTCAGTTAAATAATGATCCATCATGGGCCTTGGGACTTTCATTTAAATGTTAAATCTGGGATCACAATGAAGCAAAAAAAAAAAAAAAGGAAAAAAAATATGTCTTTTCATTTATTTTAGTACATGGAAACATTATTTAATCCGTAAGAATTAACTGTACTAAATCACATATTATGCTGTTCTAAGTACGGCAGGCACTCCTTAAGAAAAATATCCAGTACACTACATAGGTACTATAGTAATTTTTAGAGATGGTACCCATGGATATGCATTTAAACCTTTTACTGCTGTGTTATGTTGATAACATATATAAATATTAGATAATGCTAATGCTTCTGCTGCTGTCTTTTCTGTAATATTATCTTTCATGCTGAATTTACTATGACCATTTATACGCAATGCAGTTAACTACAGATAGCATTTCAGGACAAAATAGATGACTCAAACCATTTATTGCTTAAAAAAAATAGCTTACGCCATGCTATGCTATAAGCAGCTTTTATGCACATTGACAAATGAAGAGTAAGCTTCAGCTTGCTAAGGGAAACTGTGGAAACTTTTGTAACTTTGGTGAAATGGAAAATGATTTGCAAACTGTCAAAAAGTATCTGAGGAAGTTGCTGTGTGACATAGTGCTGGCACTGATATCTGTCCCTCCTCTTGTTTTGGACACTTGTGTAAATGTGATTGGATTATTTGAAAGAAGATTTAAAGATTTAAAGTTCCAAAGATTTTTGCTTTGTTTTTGTTTCTGCATTTGGAGACAATATTTAAAGCAGGTTGTGTTGTATCATTCTCCTTGAAAAAAAACATAAGTAAATGGTTTTATATCATCTCTGAATAGCTTGCTAAACAATTCAAGCAAGATATGTAAATTTTATTCAATCCTCCCATATCCCGGAGGAACAACATTTTTAGAGTCTATATCAAAATGTTAAGAAAAATTCTTACACACAAATCCGAAATCAACTTCTAAAAGCATTTTACCAAGCATAGGAAAGATTGGTAAAGATAAAATCTCCTGGCTACCCATTTTTCCACACATCTCTGAATCAATATTATTTACACGTACTTCTACAAAAACTTCTAATTTCAACATATGTATGTAACCTGTGATTATTCTACATATACATTCTATATCATTAGACCCATTGTGGGTTAATAAGTATGCCTTAAAAATCAAAACCCTCTCTCCTCCCTGCCATGCTCATGTGACCATTTAATAAAAACAGATTTTAAAATATTCAGCTAAAGTTTTATTGGAAAGAGAATTGACATATTTGGAGAAATTGAAAATGGATCTTTAAAATATGATGTAAATGAAAATGATATTGAGGATTGTTTCTTTTATTTTCTCTTTTTCTTTTTTTTCTTCTTAAAATTCTATAGTTTGCCAGTAGGGAGGATTGGGCTATGAGTTATCTTAAGGAATCAATGGAAAAATTGGTTGTAATTATATACTATTTAAGGATAAACTATATATTTTGCTGTTTAAGGTAGTGACTCACTGAATAAAATACGTAATTGGCCAACATTAAAGATATTTCTAATACAGAAGGATTTAAAACATTGCATTATGAACTTTTGGGGGAATGAATCTAAAAATTTTATTTTTAAGTTCTGTTCTTATTCTAATTTTGTTTGGTTGTATTTTTATTTTCAGATAGATTAATAAATCTGGCAGCTGACTTCTGTAAGATTTTGTGTTCTGAATTTCTAAGGGAATTGGCTACTCAAACATAAAAATCAGTAATATAACATTTTCCTCCAACTTAGAGTAGTGTTTGTTGCCTCTTGTTGATGACCTGCTAATAACCAACAGACTAATTATAACAAAGACCATTACATCCCAAAGAGTTAATGAAAAAATATTTTTTCTTGTTATGCCTATTAAAAAAGCTTAAGATAAAAAATTCATAAGGCTAACAGTGCAGAGCAGTTTTCTCAAATCATAGAGGACCTTGAGATGATTTAATTAAACCTTTTACAGATTGCGCAGGCATGCCTCGTTTTATTGGGCTTCGCTTTGTTGTGCTTCACAGGTGTTGCATTTCTTACAAACGGAAGGCAGGACACTCCAACAGCAAAAAGATTACACCTGGCTTTATTGAGATACTGGCTTTATTACGGTGGTCTGGAATGGAACCTGCAATATCTCTGAGGTATGCCAGTATTAGTTCCCTATAGATGCTGTAACATATCATCACAAATTCATTGGCTGCAACACGAATTTATCCTATTATTCTGGAGATCAGAAGTCAAAAATAAGTCTAAAGGGGTTAAAATCAAGATGTCCACCTGGCTTGTTTTTTCTGGTGGCTCCAGGGGAAACCCCATCTTAGCGTATTCCACTTTTCTAGACTGCTGACTTTCCTGGCTTCTGGCTTCATCACGTCAGTCTCGACTTCTGTGGGCACAATCCTTTCTCCTGACTACAGACAAATCTTGCTCTGCCTCCCTCTTATAAGGATGCTTATGATTACATTTAGGGTCCACCCAGATAAGCCTGGGTCATCTCCCCTCTCAAAATTATTTAAGCTAATCACATCATCAAAATCCCTTCTGTCAGATCAGTTATCAGTCCCAGGTTCCTGTGATTAGAACATGGATATGGAAGTGAGAGGGGTTGTTGTCTACCACACAGATGAAGACACTGCATAGTAAAAATACTGGTTGACTTAGCGATGGACAATTATGTTTTACCGAATGAGCTATGATTAGAAATCATTAAAGAACATATTTTATCACCGTTAAGATAGTCTCACTTTACTCTGCATAAATGGTACTGAAAACTTTTTTTTTTTTAAATTAATTCACCTGTTCTGTCAAATATCTGGTAATTGAAGCAAGCTTTTAAATTATTCCCTTCATGATAATTATAGCATAGTAGCTCAATTAATTCTGTTGTCTAAGCCAGGTATCTTTTGCTGCTAGGTTGAGTCGTTACTATACAATCTTAATATCTGCAACTGACTATGTCTGACATATATATACATATATATATATATATATATATATATATATATATATGCCTAAGCTACCGCACCACTGAATGACCAGTCACTATTACACACACTGACCACCAGGGGGAAGATGCTCAGGAGCTCCACTCGGCAGACAATGGGCGCCAGACACAGGGCTCATGGCTGGGGAGAACCGCTGCTGTGGCACAAGCCTTTCCCAATCAGGACTGATGGCATGAGCCTGTGTCAGGCACAGCGGGGCCCAGATGAGTTGGACCAAAGCCCGGATAAGGGGGACCGGCAGGCAGGAGTGGAAGGCACTGCTGGAATGCCAGTTTTGGCCCATGCCAAGGCACCGCACAGAGCATGAATCTGTGTACCGGGCCTCTAGTTTAGAATATCTCTGTTGCTAAGATAACAATTCTGAAATATGGGACAACTTATCTTTATATGATAAGGAGGAACTATGTTACCCAATATTATACCATTTGGCTAGATCATAGTAGTTGTAAAAGTAAGTCATTGTCTATAAAATAGCATTTTCAGAGCTTATAATTGCAAAACATTAGAGAAGACCATTTGAATGTTTCTTACTTGGTATCTTAAAAGAGAAAAACTAAAATTTAAAAATAAGAAGTGAGTGTGAGGTATTTTCCAATTGCAGTTTGATATAAAGGAGGGGGGAAATAGAAGTGTAAAAAAAATAGAATTTGGATAAAAATAATAGAAGGAAGTTGAGGAAGGCAAATGGACATACTGAGCACTTGTGATAAGAATTACATAACAGTTAAGTTTCCATAAAGTATCAGTGTGGGGCAAGACACTGAAGAATGTGGCCCAGTTTACTCAATGCAACTGGAACATTTAGAACTTGGCTTTTTTTTTTTTTTTAACAGTTTTTTTTAAATAGATTTATTTACAAAACAAAAACAAAACAACAACAACAAAAAAAACCACCACAGTTTATGGAAGAATATAGTTTAAGAAGAGAGAATTTGATGCGAGTAGTGGATGCCTTTATGGAAATATTGATAACTTTAGAATGTTCAATTAAAAGGGTATCTACAATAGCTATGGTTTATGAATTCATATGTGAGATAGGCTTTTTGGCATATAGACTCTAGTATTCTTATTTACTTCCATTCTAAAATTATATTTATGTTTTCATGGGAAAGATTTTTAATTCACTTGGATGGATGTATTAAAATTATACCTATGGTTTGAGAAAATAAGCTATGA